GTTTCTTCCTTTTAGTTAAACAAACAAAAAAACCTTGGCTGGGTATGGTGGCTCACGCCTGTAATCTCAGCACTTTGGGGGCTGAGGCAGGTGGATCACCTGAGGTCAGGAGTTCAAGACCAGCCTGGGCAACATCTTGAAACCCTGTCTCTACTAAAAATACAAAAATTAGCCGGGCGTGGTGGCATGTGCCTGTAATCCCAGCTACTTGGGAGGCTGAGGCATGAGAATTGCTTGAACCTGGGAGGCAGAGGCTGCAGTGAGCTGAGATTGCACCACTGCATTCCAGCCTGAGTGACCCAGCGAGACTCCGCCTCAAAAAAGAAAAACAAACCAAAAAAACCCAACTTCAATCCACAAGCATTGTTGTAAGCTTAGCATAATACAAATAAAAGAAAAAAATTACTAACTTGTCGGCTAACAACTTAAAAAAACATTTTGTTACCCTCAAGTTTTTGTCCTATAGAAACATAGCTTGTTCATTATAATTATAATCACGGTCTGCATACACATTATATATGTGATATATACGTATACATATATACGGGGAGAGAGAGAGAGAGAGGCACAGAGAGAGAGGGAGAGAGGGAGAGAGAGACAGGGTCTTAACCTGTTGCCCAGGCTGGAGTGCAGTGGCGTGATAACAGCTTGCTGCTGCCTCAACCTCCTGGGCCTAAGCAATCCTCCCACCTCAGCCTCCCAGGACCACAGGCATGTATCACTGTGCCTTTTTTTTTTTTTTTTTTTTTGGTAGAGACAGAGTCTTCCTGTGTTGCTTAGGCTGGCCTTGAACTCCTGGACTCAAGGGATCCTCCCATCTCGGCCTCCCAAAGTACTGGAATTATAGGTGTGAACCACCATGCCCAGCCCACATTTACATTTTGCTTTTGAACCTTAACTCATGTTGGTGTTTCCACGTAGCTTCATAGTCTTTGTGTATCCTATTTTAACAGTTGAAAATATACCACTGATGAGATCTACGACAATTTACTTAACCATTCCCATGATGTTGGACATTTAAGTTCTTATAATAATGGTCATTTATTTGCCCTCCGCTCCTGTGACCGTTCTATGTAGACCTCCATCTTCCAGGTTGAAGTAATTCTCCTGCTTCAACCTCCCAAGTAGCTGGGATTACAGGTATGTGCTACCACCCAACTAATTCTTGTATTTTTGGTAGAGACGGGGTTTCATTACATTGGCCAGGCTGGTCTTGAACTCCTGACCTCAAGCGATTTGCCTGCCTTGGCCTACCAAAGTGCTGGGATTACAAGTGTGAGATACCAGGCTCAGCCCCCTACCTTTTCAACACACCAAAATAACATCAATACTAAATATAATTTTAAAAATACTATTCTATATTTGTATTTCTTCTCTTGCTCTCCAAAGCAGAGACTGTATCTAAAACTATTTCTATTTTCTGGGTGACTAGTATGTAGGTCATTTTGGACATGTAGGTATTAGTACATGACCCTGACATAGTGGTGACATCAGACTGTGAATCCCCAGAGGGGCACGGCTGTTCCACCTGACACCTAGGGAAATAATTCCTCTAGTGCGCATACATAGTTTCGTAGCTATGTGTGCTATGCTATGGACACCTTCTTATCAAAATGATTTCTCCCAGCATCTCAAACTACAAAATATTTCTGAATAAATCTACCCATGCCCATGGGAGAGAAAGAATTCTAATCCTAAGGCTAGAAGATTTTCAGGTTCAACTATGCAAAGGTTATGTGTGTGTGTTTGTGTGTGTTTTAAGTATGCTTGTCAAACAATTCCCAATATTGTGTAATGGGAGATTCATTGCTCAGACGGCAACAATGCTCCCATTGAGAGTGAAGTCCTGGCACATACATACATTGCCCTTGATTCACCAGAGCAAAATCTTAGTTAACCCACAAGCATTACAGGCAGATGTAGGTGCATAAAGAAACCCAAATATCAGTCAAGCAAAAAATGGAAAAGACGTGCAAATCCATCCATGCATTAAATTGACAGGCTTGACATTGATGTAAGGAAGCTTTGACATTTTCTTTTCTTCTCTCAACTCCCTTTAAGAGTGACAAGAAGTTTTTAGAGTAGCAGAAAAGATGATTCTGTGGTTTGCTCTGTTTAACAGAGGAAGTGGTGTCTGGCTCCAATAGGTTGGTGGCAGAGAGCAGGTCTCAGAAGAGTTATAAAAGGCAGCAGCAACATGGAGGAAATGGGAGTGAACCGAGAGCTTAGTCACCAACATGAGCCCCCTCAACAAGCCCAAGAATGAGATGACCCTGGAGGAGCTGCAGAATCGAAAGGAGGAGGAATTTAATTAACTCAGGTCCACCCTCTGTGCTCACTCAGTCCATCAAGAACAACAGCCAAGTGCTCATCAACTGACGCAACAATAAGAAACTCCTGGGCTGCATGAAAGCCTTCGATAGGTACTGCAACATGATGTTCGAGAACGTGAAGAAGATGTGGACTGAGAAGTCCAAGCCAGTCAACAAAGACCGCTACATCTCCAAGATGTTCCTGCGCGGGCACTCAGTCATCATGGTCCTGCAGAGCCCGCTCACCGCCAGCAAGTAGGAGCCACCTATCCCTATCACTCAACAGAACTCACTCCCCTGTCCTACGGAGACCGCTGCCGCTGTTGTTGAGAATAATAAAGCTCTGTTTTTTTTCTAAAAAAAAAAAAAAAAAAAAGGACTGGGCAAGAGTGGCAAGTGTGCCTCGCTTACACTTAGTATTTTTAGAGGTCACTATATATGGGTAGGCCATGCTGAAGCGAGTTTTGTTCTTGGGGTATGTTCTTGGTTAAATCACGTCATTCCTGTATATTCTAGAGTGCACTGACTCCTAACCTTATTCTCACCTTCTGTGGGGACTATGAGAAATTTCTGAACATGTTAAGCCTCATAGAGAGGATTTCCTGGGAATAGAGCTACTATTCTCAATTTTGGCAGGTCTATTCTTCTCCTGGAGGGAAAAGGAAAAAAGAAACACCAGCTTCCTACATCTCCTTCCTGCTTGTGTCCTTTCCTCCTTAGAGCCACATTTCTTCACCAAGTATAACAAGTTAAAAGAAGAAAACTGGGGCTGGGCGCGGTGGCTCACGCCTGTAATCCCAGCATTTTGGGAGGCCGAGGCGGGTGGATCACGAGGTCAAGAGATCGAGACCATCCTGGTCAACA